AGGAGTACACCCTGCCTAGGCAGGATGCACTCCAGGAGTACACCCTACCTAGGCAGGGTGTACTCCAGTGTGCGCTATGCCGTCCGGCAGGTCTATTCAAATCCGCGGAGTGAAGTTCCATGGTGAACACATGCAGTAGGTCTTTCAACGAAATTCAAAGGAGAGCAAATTCCATCTGGTCGCAAGGAATCTTGTTGATGCTTCGGAGAAATGTCTTTTTCAGTCCCTGCCCCAACACTGCCACATTCTTATCTAAATTTCTTTTTGACAAATTTTCGTACATGACAAAGCTTTTTAATTCAAGGTACGAAACGCTTTCTTGTCCAAAGTTCTACTGTACTTTTGCATTAATTATTAACTAACATAACCTGACCTTATAATTGGGGTAAAGAGGATTCATTTTTGAGAACCACACATGGATGCCTCTGATAACATTACGTGTGTTGTTCTTAGCGACATCTATGAGGGCATTGGTTTGCGCGTGGCTCCCCCCAAGTGGGATAGCTCCAAGGCCTCCCCTGAAAATAGATTTCTGCAGAATTCATTATTATTTTTGCCAAAGTAAATGCTGCTTCAAGAATCACTGTAGAATCAACTTTCCTCTGATTTCTGTGGAAGATACACCTGCGTAAGTGATCACTTCAGAAGAGCCTCTGCTGAATCGCACTCCGTGGATGTGGACTAATCCTCCTGCAGGGGGAGTACGCTGTGCCTGGGGAGTACGCCCTGCCTGCTACACCGGCTCCGGCGAGAATGTGCCTCACCTTCTGACTCTATGTAGCGCCACGCCTTTCCACCAGTCTGTCAATGCTACAAATGAGTGACTTTTGATGGTGGCGTCACGCATAAATAGATGAGAATCGATGAAACACAACTGTGCAGGTCTTCTCATTGAATGAAAACCCTATTAGCCGTGAAGTTCAGAAAACACGGCAAACCGATTGTGATCACATGACTCAGTGGGGTGTTGATCCGCGAATTTAGGTAACTTAGCATGTGTCGCATGTCGTTGATCATGCGAGGAGATCGCATGGGCAGTCATTTGTGCGATGCAATTTTCATAAATTTTGACGCAGTTTTGCCTGTTTTTCTAATTACCGCTGCTTGGTCAATGATCAGATTGTGGCTTGGGTTCCCAGGATAAATTAAACTTGAGAATGTCGTTGAACACCGATGTCGAAGCTCTGTATCAACAGCTCAACGAAAATTGGAGTAAAAGTCCTCCGAATCTGCCAAAGTGCGGAGAAACCCTGAAAAAGTTGAAGGTGGGTGGCTGGCATTAACGTACTGTATTAAGGTGGATATTGATCGATTCCTTCTCGTAGATCGCGCTCACCCAATTGTCCTTCCTGCCGACAAAGAAGACGCTTTCACCCATTTCTAAGAAGGAATTACTCCTTGCGAGTGAGTTACGATACGTTCTATTTATCTATACGAGCATTCCTCCAATTCCTAACCGTATTTGTTTCCCAAGGAAATGTTCTCGAAATTGGAGCTCAATGGAGCATAACTGAACGCAACCTTCCATCCTTCGAAAGATTCATGGCACAACTGAAATGTTATTATTATGATTACAAGTATGTACTTTCTCGTTTTGATTTCCAAATGTGTAGTGCGTAATTGATCGGCTCGTTCTCCAGGAATGAGCTGCCTCCAAGTGCTTTAATGAATGAAATGCTTGGGCTCAATTTGCTGTTTTTACTGAGCCAAAATCGCCTTGCTGAGTTCCATTCCGAAGTTGAGCTGCTTCCCCGGGACGAGAGTCAGAACAATATCTACTTGAAACACCCCATCTCACTGGAACAATATCTCATGGAGGGATCGTATAACAAGGTCTGGCTTTTACTACGTCGACTATAGGCTTGTTCTTACTACTGTAAACATTTTGCAGGTGTTCCTCGCCAAGGGATACGTTCCCGCTCCAAGTTATAACTTCTTCATGGATATCTTGCTGGATACCGTTCGGGGCGAGATGGCATCGTGCATGCAGAAAGCGTATTATCAAATAACTTTCGCTGAAGCGCAACGAATGTTGAACATAAAAGACGACGATGCAATGAAGAAGTTTGCGAAGCAGGTGAATAAATCCCCTCTTTGATGCAAAGACTTTGTTTTAAACGGAAATTTTCTTGTTGCAGCTTAATTGGACGACGAAGAAAGGAACACATTTCTTTGACTTTAGCAATGTCCACAAAGTCGACGAGTGCGGTACTGGACCTCTTCCGGCGCATGAGCTTGCCAAAATGGCGATTGAATATGCAAAGGAACTAGAGATGATCGTTTGAAAACAGAGCAAGCGTTTAATCTCCAAAATCTCCCATTTTCGGAAGATATATGTGCTGTTTCGGTTTTGTCATCATAAAATCAATTAAATTTCAACGAGTTTCGTTTACTTCGGGTCTTCCTTGTTGAAGCTTTTTCAGTGAGTCCGCAAATATGAGCCCACGTCTTAGTTTGCAAAGTGATGCTAGATTTGATGTATCCGTTGGCATCAGTTTGGGTTAGGTAGTATTATGCATGAGTTCTTATATGCTTATTCTTGTATTGCGGTAGAGGTGAAATTATATTTTTCCAGTCGTAATTGCTGTAGTGAGGTCCCATGGAATTTTTCGGATCATCAAGCATGACAGCTTCAACGAGGAATAGCCAATGGATTTATATTTATCCTTCTAAGTCTGAAATTGAAGTTGAACTTTTTTCCAGGCAGTCATCGAGTTCGTTCTGTGCTTTTAGTGGGTGTGAGTGATATTCCCGGGCGTTCATTCGAGCATTCATGATGTCGAAACTTCTGAATCAAACAGAATGTGTTACAGATATTATGTCGTTCTAAGCGCCATGCTCGTTAATTTGTGCAGGGTTCAATTGCTTCTTCTTTGTGCAGGGCGATTCAATACTTACCAAACCCGCTAAAATTCGTATTCAGGGAAGTTTTTAGCCAGATAATTCTGTGATTTGTCAGAAAGAACGAGTGAAATTGCCTAATTACCAGAACATTCTGACGCTTCAGAAATTGTTCGAGCTTGGAGAAAGTGACAGGAACTGACCTTTTCAATTGGAATTTTAGATGTTATTCCTTCATTACTACCGTAATTCCCTGTAAAATGGCGAGAACGTTCGTTCAATTGTTCGCACTGCTTCAGTCTTAGTCCGGAAAAGAAAACATAATATCCCTTTTTTCCCCTTTTGCTAAGCCCATTTGGTTTCTTGTGACTTTGTGAAGATTTCCTTTTTCCTGTCACAATTTCCCGACTGCCTTCGGCACAAACTTCGTGGTACAGTATTTAAGAACTTGTTTTTCGTAGCACCCTAAACCTTGAATTTCCACGTTCTTGTTGGTCTAATCGCGTTTGTATCGCATTTAATTTGCCGTCTCGACGCACGTAACTGAATCCTTGACATAATTAAAATTGGCAATCTTACTATAGTTGAATTCAAACTCATTTAAACCAGCTTTTGTTTCGATCACGGCCGGTGTTTGTTGGATTGATTACTTTTGAGCACTCGATAATTTTGATCAGATTATTTACTGTTGATCAGTTTATTTCCTGATGACGTGTGTCATTATTGAAGGGAATCATGTGTTAGTTCTTAGAATTAAGGCATTATGTTATCACGAATTCTTTATTATATCTATGCAATGTATTCAAATCTTAAAAGATTAATTTCCTTTCACTTGAATATTCCGTATCAGGACGCTGAAAGCATGTTTATCTCCTTTTTGAGGTTCGAAGGTCACTCCGGTAGTAGATAAGTTATTTTTAATGAAAGAAACTCCGCTAGGCTATCTGCACCTTGTCAAAGTGGGAAAGGGATTCGCTGTGAGCATTTTTCAGTGTTTTTCGATGGGCGTGAACGTTATTTTTTCAGGCGAGGTGATTTATTTCAATTTTTTGCATTTGACCTCATTTTTTTTCCTTTTTAGAAATATAACGTCTATATTTTTGTCCCTATCGAGTGCCAAGAAATTGTGTTATCCCTGAATGATGTTGCCCGCAAGATTTGGTCAGCTCCATCAATGGAACCGTTGCATGTCAACGGTCGTCTCTTCAAACGATTACCAATACCTTCATCGGAGTTTGATTCCAACGCTGCATTTTCAGCCATCGCTGCCACGTCTACCCATTCCGAAACTAGAGGACACTTGTGAGAGATACATTCGTTGCCAATCTGTTGTTCTCGAAGGCTCTGCATTGGAGAATACGAAGCGCTTGACTGAGAAATTTCTCCAGGGAGAAGGAAGGAAACTGCATTCTGCGTTGATTCAAGTGGACAAACGAAACAAGCACACGAGTTATATTTCTCCAATGTGGTTTGATATGTATTTGTGTGATCGTCGCCCGATTCCTTTAAATCATACCCCATTTATCGGGTATGTGGATGAGACGGATTCCAAGTATGCGAGTCAGATCGTGAGAGCTACAAATATGCTAATATCGTCGCTGAGGTTCTTCAAGACGTACCGTGAAGGTCTGCTGGAGCCGGATGTATTTCATCTAAACCCAAAGAAGTCGGACACATTATTCTTCAGGTAACCGTGTTTTCTCGTTATGTTTTGATTTTAGCGCGCCCGAAAAACTGAATTACACTCACAGTCAAACTTCCAACTGAAGTTTAAAAGCTTAGTTCCGATTTTGATGGTAGAGTCAATTCTAGAGAAGCTGCCGCCATTTGTTTTTGGCGGTTTCAGGGGGGTTGGTAGATTACCAAAAAAGCTGAAATAATATGAATACCACGTACTGTATATCATGATAGGATATGGAATTTCTATTATTCTGGAAAACGAATGAAATTACATTTTGTGATTTGGCTGTTCGACGGAGTTTAGTAGTTCATCAAAAAACTAAAATACTCTACCTTGAAAATCAAATACTGTATAATGGGGAAATAAATTGTTTGCATTTGTTCGCCGAGGGAAAAAAAGAAGAGAAAATTTAATTTATCTAGGTATAAATATTTTGTTAAATGTTGTGTTGTTGGATTCTGGTTCAGACCATCCCAAACCCAAAAGTTCTTCATGCCATTGGTACTCATTTAATTCGATTGCTTCTGAATTTAAAAATTGCGTTAAGATTTTGTTGAAGCCTCGATAAGCCGCCACCATTTGTTTGTGGCGGTTTAACGGGGTTGGCGGTTTACAAAAGTTAAATAACATGAAAATAAAGTTTCGTAGGAAATCTAATTTTTTTTTCTGGAAACAAATCAAAATAAACCTGGGATGCTTAAATTACGAATATACAGTATCTAGCTAATGTTCCTGCGAATAAATTATGCTATATTTGTGTTCATGTTTTTTTTTATTGGAGTTCTCAAACATAAACTTGTATCTTGTTGGCGGTATTCTGAAGACAACATTAATTGATAGAACATATTTGAGTGTTCCATTATGTAGGCAGATGGCTTTCAACATGGATCCCAATGTTATCAACATTATGGGAGATTTATTTTTTATTTTTTCAAAATAAATTGTCAGTTGCCCAGGGTGGCGGCTTACCGGATGGCGTCTTAATGAAATTTCACTGTATTTTCGTGGAAAGTCATTCTGGTTCTAGAAAATTCTTGCAAAATCTGTGTCTGTGTTGTGATATCTCACCAGTTGCTTGTGAAAGAGTGTTGAATTTAATTAGGGATGAAAAATAATTGTATAGTAAGATGTGTTGGATGGGCTGAGCTTAATTTTCTGTCGGTCCAGAAGATTTGAAGAGTGTTTTATTTTCCTTATTGTTTTCTTTCAGGAAAGCTATGAGACTGTTGCCGGCGGGTGTGTCAGCCTATGGTGCTATGGCCATGAAAGCATTTCCGCTCTGCATGAGTCAATTTCCCAATTTGTTGCAGTCAACTCGATTACCGCAGGAAGGCAAAGACATTCTAAGGCGTTACCCCGAGTCCAGACACATGCTGGTGATGCGGAATGGGAATTTTTACGTGTTTGACGCGTTGGACGAGAATGGGAACCTTTTTGAACCGAGTTACTACCTTGGCTGCATTTCGCACATTCTGAAGGACAACGCACCTGCTTCCGAGTTCCCGTTGGGCGTCATGACTGCCGCTGACAGGGATACTTGGACTGACTTCAGGTGCATTTTCCTGTACTAACCCGTCAGCGAATGCGAAGTTGTCTTTTGTATGAAAAGCACTTTACTGCTTCGCATGGAATATCTTGAGAGTTGAAAACATGCTGTAAACTTTTATTCGAGGAGGAACACACACAAATTTTCCCTTCGATTTTGAAACTAGTTTTCGATTTTATTTTTTCCATAAAAACATTTGACAAAAATCTCGAGTAGTACAGTATTTTGAAATTCTAGTTATTGTGAAACATACGAGAGTTGTCCCACATCCGCGCATCCAGGGCAATGCTTTAGGCATTTGCTATTTTTTAAAAAGATTTTCGTTACATTTTTTGAGAAACTGCATAATGAAGCGCAAAATTTAGAAAGGAAAACTTCCTGGTTTTGGCAAGAGTTTCCCGCTAGTTTTACAGCATGCCAAATTTTTGTCATCAGAGTTTAAAAAATGTAATTTCGTTGTTGTATCGAAGACGCCGTTTCTACACTACCAGCATGCGAGGAAGTTTTTACTTCATTATGTCCTGAAAAAATCTTTGAAAAATTAAACTGCCTGAAATATCATTACTTCATTATGGCCACTTTTTAAAATGTCCGATGTATGAACAAACCTAATTTGATGCAGTTTGACTAGCCTAAGCTTAATCATCTCATTCAGCCCAATCTGATTCAAATCAAATTTTCGAAAACGATGTCATCTAACCTTGAATTTTAGCGAATATTTTTCTCTCGACTCTTGGAAAATGACTTCGGAATCAGAAATCTTCTCTTCAGTCTCGTTTTTGCAACTTTTAAAATTGCAGATCAAAACTTATGGCGCTCGGTAACCAAACTGCACTGAATGCGGTCGACAGCGCCATCTACTGTCTTACCTTGGATGACGATAAAATTGGAGACGATCGAGTGGCTCTTTTCCGAAGTTTTCTGCACGGCGAAGGCCGAGGCAATCGTTGGTTTGACAAAAGCTTGAGTCTGCATTTCACTGGAGACGGGAAAGCCGCCGTTACTTTCGAACATTCCTGGGGCGACGGAGTCGCCGTTTTGCGGTTCTTCAACGAGGTCTTTAACGACAGCAAAAAGAAACGAGAGATTGATCAGAACACACTGCCGTCTTCCATTGGGGATTCAACTGTTCGCAGGTTGGGTCATTGACTTTGAAGAAATATTTTTACTTGATAGCTGTGCCCCGAGATGCGGACGTAATTGGTGCTTGGACCTTGTCCCTTTGTTGGAATGTCGTGATGTTGGATAACATTTTCCGTGACTTCAATGGGAACTTATGCAATTTATTTCTCCAGTTTGTCAAAAGAGGAAGAATAAGTCACCCAAAAAATTGAAAAATGTGTTTCTCAATGTCAAGGTACAGATTATAGCTGGGCAGAATAAACCATACAGATTCTGATCTTTTGGCATCAAAAGGACCCCCCCAAAAAGAAAAGAAAATGTAGAAGTATTTCTATACTATGCACATATGATGGAGAATAATTTACTGTACTCCAAAAAATAAGCAAAAAATTAACCAGTTTTTTATTAGAAATGTTGTTCAATGTATCACGAATTTCAATTTGTTGAAGAGTTTACCAAATTTTCCATTCTTCTATATGCATTGGAAAAGTCTCTTCATCTCAAGATGTTGTCCAGATGTCAGGGCAAATATGCTAAGCCTCAAGTGTCCCTAAGTAAAGTTGTCCATATGTTGGATCAAATTTTCCCATAAACGTCAATGTCGTCATATTTAATTGGTTCTCTGGTTGAAATTAGGAATAAGTCCCCCAAAATATTGAATACAATTTTTTTCTTCAATTTCGAGGTGCAGAAAAAATGCAGAAGAAATCAGCATAAAATCTGATTTTTTGAAATCAAAAGTAGCTCAAATAGCAACTATTGAGCAAGTTTTCCTCTCCTGTGCATGGATTATGGGGAAAAACTGTTGAAAGAAGCCAGCAATTGGACTGTTTTTGATTATGAATTTAAGTAAATTTGTAATGAAATTTATTTTCAATTTTTTGAATATAAATATCGCAATTTGTTCAAGAGGTATCAAAATGAAAAAAGGGCATTTTTCTGGAAAATTTTGGTGAAGTGTGCCTATCTCAAGACATTATAGGATTTTGGGGTGGACTTCTTTGACTTTCAAGTGTCCCTCAGTCGGATCGGCCGCATGTCGGGGCCTCACTGTTCTTATTTCTTTTATACTAGCGATTTTATTTTTTCAGGTTGGAATTCCGCCTCGACCAGGGAATGCAGCAAACGATCAAGAGTGTTCAGGAGGAATTCGTTAAAAAGTGTGATTCGTTGGACGTGAATGCAGCGGAAGTTCCTTTGTTTGGCAAGAGTCTGTTGAAGACGAAGAAGCTCAGTCCGGACTCTGTCATGCAACTTGGCATCCAGCTCGCTCAAAAATACACTGCTGGCAACACCGCTGCAACTTACGAATCCTGCTCAACCGCCGCCTTCCGACACGGAAGAACGGAAACTGTTCGATCCGCCACCGCCGCCACGAAGGCGTTCTGCGACGCCGTGACCGCCGAGGACGTGACTCGTTCGAACGCGGGGAAATTCTTCTCTCTTTTGCAAACATGCTCCGGGGTCCACGGACAATTGACGAAAGAAGCCGCGATGGGACAAGGTTTCGATCGGCATCTTTTTGCGTTGAAGCACTTTGCCGAGGGCCGATTGCCGGATTTGTACACTGACGAAGCGTACCAGAAGCTCAACACCATCGTGTTATCCACGTCTACATTGAGTGCTCCTGCAGTTTCTGTTGGTGGTTTTGCGGCTGTTACACCGTCGGGTTACGGGATTGGGTATGGAATTCGGGATAAAGAGCTGGGTTGCGTCGTGACTTCGTATCCCGGTGCAGATGGGAAATCCTTCACCGAGGCTTTAAAGCGTGCTTACGAAACTATCCATCGCGTTCTTGTCGCGAATTAATAGGATTTCCGATCGAAGCGAAATTTGTATCGTGGTCAGTCTACTTGTGTTAAGAAAGTTACTCGTTGATGGGGTTTTTTTTTTCGTGGTACCTACTCGGAGTCATATCGAACCTCTTGTCGAGGTGTCCTTGAGCTTATGGTTCCCTCAAGTACAGTATTTTATATTTTTATTTTTTGTTATTTCTTTGGTCGCGGGATTGGTTCTGAGTGGTTTACTTCGTCTCCGTTACGTTCTTAACGAATCGATGGTTTTTGAAAGGAACAACTTTCTGTTGGGCTGTTTTAGAGAGAAAATAGCCTTTTCACCTTCATCGAAGAAAACTTGATTATGGATGCCTCAGAATGTGACCCCATTACCTAACATGTGGAAGAATTGACTGTTGTTAACTTGTTATGTTGGAAAATTTGTGAATTCCTTACCAGTCTTTTTTACACTCCGTAGACTCTGGCCATTGGGTATGTGATGTTCAGAGTCCGCTTGTGATGAGCAGAATATGAGATGACAAAGACTGAATGTTCACCTCTCCTTTTTGTGATTCCGAAGCAATGCAAAAAAAATGCCGAAGTGTACGTGTTTCTTGATGACAATTCTTGAGTGATCCATTTTCCGTACAGATGAGGGTTTTACGTTTCGAAGTACATTGATATTTACGGGGTACCCTTTTTTATTTATCGCTAGACGACTGTTAGTAAATTTCCTGATGAATTAGTTGATTCACATTTGATCAGTTCTTTGATGAATTTCGAAATGTGCGAGGAAAGTTGGTAACTTGCTCTATGTTCCAAATAATGTCTGCTGGTAGACTTTCGAAAAATATTTCCAAATTCTTTTCAGAACGAAATATTTCTGGTCACGGCATTTGTATTTATGTAGATCGCAAAATGCGGTTCTTGATTCGCGGAAATTTGATATCCTCAGAAAGTAAACGCAGATATTTACGACATACTTGTTGAAAGAATATGAGAGAATGAGGAGAAAGGGGAAAATCCTGTATCGAAAATTCAACTTAGACTTGGGTTTTCTCGTGAAAAGCCAGAACGGTTCTCTTTTGTTTCCTAAGTTTCGAACACTTGATGGGGGTAATTCCTATGTGCTTCCCCCTTTTTCGCAGTGCTTCTCTCATCTTCGACCTTGAAATCATTGCTTTTCAAAATTTCAATTTATGTCAGTGCACTAGTATGAAAATCACAGAAGTATCTCCTTAACGATTCATGTCGTGTTCCGCCAAATATCATTACAGTATTTCCGGTTCTCGTATAGTTTTCGAATCGACGTTGAAGATGCCCCTGGGGCGCATTTCCGCAATTTGTGTCTGAGAAATTAGACAATCAAGGATTTATTTTTGTTTTCAATTTTCAGGCAAATTTTCAGTGTGCCATGTCGAATGCAGTTCGCGTCGAGAGGACAGTGCTTCCACAAAAACTGGGCCAAGGTCCACTTGGGCTCGGGGACCCGGACGACCAAACCCTGCGAAAGGTCGAGAAAGAAATCATGATCCCTAAAAAAGTTCGCGAACGAACGAAAGCTGAGAAGTGCGTGCCGGAAGTGCAAGCATTCACCGAGTGTTGCAAAGATTCCGGCGTTCTAATGGTGGTCAAGTGTCGTGGAATGAATGACCAGCTCAAAGCTTGTCTAACGCGTTGGTATCACGACGAAGGTTTTGTTGCTGAGTGCACCAAGGAGTACATTGAGGAACGTAACTACTATCGACGAACCGGGATCAAGGTTAAAGACCAGAAGCACGAACATGTCGATGCTTCGTGAAGCAGACTGACGGATTTCGCGTACGGTAGTGATTCATGTGTTTTGTGTGAAAGTGGCGAGGAAAAAATACTCGTGGATCCTTTTTACTTGCGCTTGCGAAGTGATTTATCTCCTCGGCGCAAAATGTTTGGATTTTTCATGACGCAATTTTATTCAAATTCATTGTGTTTTTCCTGCTCTCTTCTAGTTGAAATCTGTGGACTGTAGCTTTATTTCTCAAGGCTCGTGTGCAGTGAAATATGAGTGCGGAAACCCAGGATGTTCCGATGGAAGAATCACCTGCACCCGAAGTGCAAGTTTCCAAAAATGACCCGCGATTGAGGTCGATTAAAATCAAAACTGGAAGTGTGAAGCGCTTGCATAAAGATGTTCTGTACTATCAAAAAGAGCTGGTTCAACATACTGAGAAAGTCGAGAAGATGAAAGCTGACGGTGAGTTCTTCAAGGAAATCGTGAAATATTTTTTCGTCTTTTCAGTTTGACTTGCGTAAATATACTGTATTCGTGAAAGACTGTGCGAAATTTTGTCACTACTGTGGTACTCCTGAATAATATCAATTTTTGCAAACGTGATATTCGTTGACCATTTCAATGATTTTTTTTCTGACGAAGTGGTTTTTCGACGGTTTTATTTAAAAAAAAAATTTCAATTCTTGTCAGTCCCCTGAAAACCGTAAAGGAAGTTCGAGAAGAGAAATGTGAATCACCTAAGTTTGAATCATGTTTGAAGAACTGAAAGAGGCTGCGCTTCTGAGGTTTAAATCTCATTCAACCAAGAAGTGTCCGAAAAACATTTACACAAACCTGAAAATTTCTAGTTGAACATCATGGTTTCTTCGGTTTTTATGCTTTCATCGTGGAATATTCTTTTCAACTTTTGTTTTCAATTCGAAGGTGCTCCGGCGAAAGAAGTTCTGCATTGGGAAGATATGAAAAACGAAACGTCTCGGGTTATTCCGGATGTCACTCGTCGTCTGAAGGAAACTTTCGAAGATTTGAAGAACGTGCTGCAGCAAGAAGACGATCTCAAAGAAGAGGAAGTTTATAAAGTGGCAGAAGCTGCTCTCAACGAAGCTGCGGGCACAATTCAAGCTGTCTAATCAATTCTGCGCACGGTTTTGATTCGAAACGAAATGATGTAACCAGCTTTTGCATTTATCTCGTGGCGTTCTCTATTCCGTCCTTGTGATGCTTGGTGTAATTTTTTTTTTCTGAATGAGCACTTGATCTGTGTGGATTGCTTCACCGTATTTACGCTCTTTTATATTCATTCACTGATCCAAACCTAAATCCCGCTTCTTGCAGGTTGTGAAATATTTTCAAATGAAGCGATCGAGTGTTCGTAGTGAACTGAATCGCTTTTCGTGTCAGTCCTCGTCTCTCCGGGTGAGTTTCCGCAATTTCGTTTTGCAAATCACCGTTGAACCTCTATGAACCGAACCTCGGATTTTTTTTTTTTCAAATCGCTATCTGAATTCCCTTTGAAACAATACATGAAAAACTTCCCTAGCTCAAAAGCTTCCCTCCTCAAGCCTCCTTAACTCGAACTTTCTGGAGTCCTTTTGGCTATTTTTAATGGACACATGAAAGAGAAGAGCACTAAGTATGTAATTTGATGTGTTTTAAAAGGAAATTAAAGACTACTTGGGCAAATTAAACCCTGTTACCAAGTTTAGGATCCTGTCAACTTATTTAAGAAGCAATTCGATGCCCAGAATATAAGCATTTAGAATTTCCTACAATTTTTCTATCTATCCCACAACAGAAATGCGTGCTTCCCTAACTCGAGACCTCTCTATGTCGGATTTTCCTGCTGGTCCCTTGAAATTCTATTTGAAAGAGGTTCAACTGCTGCAGAAGAAGTTTGTTTCCTATTTTAAATGAATACGTCGCAAGAATTTTGAGACACACGTATTTACGCAAGTTCCACGCGAATCTTTTTTCCAAGGAGCTTTTGAAAAAATGAGGTGCACGTCACTGTCGGATTCAAATTTTCGAATAACCTACAATTTTTTTTTACATTTTCCTCCACTGTAGAGTTTTTTTTTAATAATTCTATTGTCCGCATGCGAAAAGCGTCAATATTGAATTCAATTTTTAAATGAGCTTTTATTTAGATTTTCACTTCATGTAGTTTTTAAGATATGAATTTTGGTGATTGTAAACTAAGTTGCGCGTCTTGTGGGGATGGAATCTTTTCGAAAACTTGAGCTAAGAAAAAGTATGGTGACAGTCTTACTTCAAGGGCGCGTTGTACTTGAATGAATACTTCTTAATAGAGGAATGTTTTGGTACCATCATAAATTTATCAGTTGGAGTGGAGCTTTCTCGCTGTGCAAGTGACTTATGGTCTTGAGTCACCCTATTGCAGTATTTCGGCTTTCAAACAGGCTTTTCACCCCGTATCGTAGGTCAATTCAAATTTCACAACTTCCTTCCTGATGGATTCGTTTTTTTTTTTTTCTTTCCCGACATGAACTGTAGGTTGAAAATGCAGTCGGCGAAAGCGGAGTTCAGATCCCGGATTTTGTACGAGGACCCAGTGGAAGTGCATTCGTACGTGGACCAACAAGACTATTCCATGAACACTGTCAACGTAACAACTCACTACGACCGATCTTCAGTCATCGGCTACTCTCAGCACCAAGACCAACACGTGTACCACCAAAGCTTCTCGGATCAAGACTCGTACGGCGTTCCTTACTCACTTCCCGACCCTGGAATGTTGGACGACGTCTTGATGCCATCTTCGGAATTCCGCTACCCTAATTTGAACGCCATCACAGACTTTTGCGCCAGTTTCAACGACTGTTCCCCGGGTGTCGACCGGTATCCTCCGTATGTGACGGATCCCGGCGTTGAACTCGGCGGAGAATACAGTGGACATGATCAGCAATTGGATTATCGCGACGTGGAGTCTCCTGTTCAGCATTACTCTGGTTCTACAGTGTGCGAGTCGACCTTTGATTATATTCCCTTGAGTGACTTGACCTTTCGAGACGATGTGCATCACGGAGTTGACGTGGATGTGGGGTTTATGCGGCGAGATGAGAGCAGCGAGCATTTGTATCACGATGAGGTGTCGTATGGCGGAGAGCTGGATTTGTCGACGAATGTCCCGCTGCCGCCTGAACCCGTTCCGCACGAGGACCTCTCAGGTATTTTTTTTTGTTTCATTCCAAATGGGACTTTTCTGAAGAATTCTCATGTAAAGATTCTGCATTAGAAATTTAAATGTAAATAATGCCGGAGGCAAATTTTTTTTTCTAACGTTATGTGAACTTACGAAGTGAAGACTGGCCGTGAAAATAACGCCAGGAAACCGACGATGTTTCGGTTGGTGAGGAATGTCGGAAGGGTTGTTTCTTTTTTGCTCTAGTTCGTCCTGATTGTCTCAAATTCCTGCATATTAAAAAAAAAAAAATTATTATCTCAAGGAAGCATTCAACGATTTGGTAAATTGCTACGAAGAAAATTCCATGTACTCTTCGAAAGATGCAATGGGCAGAACAGCAATTGAGCAAAAAAGCGAGAAGGAGATCAGTTAAAGGCACAGAAGACCAAACGTTTTCAAAAGAGCAATTACAAAAACGGCTCTTCGCAAAAAAGTAAAGGTTAGGAAATTGATACCGGATCTGTTGCTCTTCTGATACTCGCTTTTCTTGCACAAAATGTCCCTCCTCTCTCTTGAGGATTTCTCGCTTGCGGTCTATATTAGCAAAATATTAAGAAATTTTCGGAACTCGAACTTGTTTAAAGCTTGAGGATTTTCTTTTCTTTTGTGATTGATTGTGGAGTTGTCGCCAACTTACTCGTTTCTTGAATTTCAGCAATTGAAAATAACTTTCAATGTACTGAAGCTTTAGCCTATGTTGGAAATACAGTGGGGCCCCGAGATGCGGACGGTATTGCTGCTTGGATCTTGTCCCTATGTTGGAGCGTCCGCGAAGTGGATCATGTTTTTCCTTAGACTTCTATGGAAAAATATTTAATTGGTTCTCCTGTTCATCAAAATCTAGGAAAATGTCTCTCAAAATTGAATGAAATAATTTTTCTCGATTTCAAGTTACAGAAAACAACTGTGCAGAAGAAAATCTTATCTTTTGGCATCAGATGGAGCTCAAGAAGCAAAGAACGAAAACAAGTTCAGCGATTCTTTGAACAGATGATCCACAAAAAAAAAACTCGGAAAAATGAAGCAGAAAAGTAACCTGTTTTTGATGATGAACTGGAGTAATTTTATTTTAATTTTTTGAAGAGAAATACGTGTAGCTAAATTCGCTCAGGAGATCTTACGATTTCAAAAATAATTTTTTCCCTTTTTTCTGGATGTGTTGGCAAAGCGTCCGTATCTCGAGACATCGTCCAGTATTGGGGTAGGGTTTTTGAAGGTTGAAGTGTCTCTAAGTTGAATATGTCGGGGCGTTCGTATTTCGGGGTCTCACTGTGTAACCTTATTTTCTGTGGGTTTGGGAGAAATAATGCTCGTCATTTTTCAGGTGCTTCAGCAGACGAGCACATCCGATTTGTGCACAGCATTCCCAAGAAGCGAAAACTGCCAGATGCCGTTCGTGAAGCCATGAACATGTTCAATCCCGGAGTGGACGATGCGCAAAAACTCACACCCGTGGAATCCCATCAACCTGCCGAACCTCCCTTGAGCGAGGATCTCGCATTACTCGACGACCTTCCGGACTTGGGGGATTTCGAAATGGCCCAACTCATGTCAACGATGCGGAAGAAGAAAGGGGTCGGGTTTGGGAAAAGCAGTTCGAAACCCGTGCCGCCGGTGGCTGTGAAGAAAGAGCCCTTGGATTTGCCCAAGAAGCGTATTCGAGCGTACGAGGATCAAACTGAAAGCTCTTCGATGAGCCTCACGCCTGTTTCCACCCCGTTGGAGTCGGACGTGCAGAAAGCGGAAGATGTGCAGGAAACTTCGCTGCCGCACAAGAAGCGGATTTCAAAGACCCTCATCTCGGACAGCATCGACGAAGACAGTGCGTCTCCTTCCGTGGAAGATTCCGCCGGCATGGGTCATCTCGATGTCAAGAACGAGTCCCCGAAGGGCTCGAAGAAGCAGAACTTCAAGTGCAAAAAGTGCAACGAGTCGTTTTACAGTCGCCAAAACCTGAGTGCCCATCAGAAGACCCACGTGAACGTGTTCACGTGCCAGCTTTGCAAATCGGACTTCGAGGCGCAGAACGAGTTTTACGAACATCTCAAGTCGCATTACGAAGGCAACGACAAAGACCCCGAAAATTCCATTCTTCCGGCAAATAAGGTTGTTGAATCGGACGAAAGTTCCGTTGCCCCTCCTGGAGAATTCGCGTGCAGCATTTGCGAAGCGAAATTCGTCTTCAGACACCGGCTGGGGAAGCACATGAAGAAGATGCACAACACGAAGCTTCCGCGGGAAGCGCGGAAGAAGCCCAAGGAAGTGCCGTCGAAGAACAATTGCCCGGAATGCGGCAAGTTTTTCGCGAAAAAGAATTCGCTGTACTACCACTTGCGATCACATAATCCGAATCGGAAGTTTGAGTGCAGCGAGTGTTCCAAGAAGTTTCTGTCGAGGAGCACGTTGACGAAGCACATGAGGCTGCATTCTGGAGAGAAACCTTTCGTATGCGACGAGTGTGGGAAGCAGTTTCGCCAGTGGGGTGACTTGAATTATCACAAGTCCTCGATTCATTCGGATAAGAAGGCATTCAAGTGTGAATATTGCGACAAGGAGTTTGCGAGGAAGTACAGGTGAGCGTTGCGTTTATTTTCTGGCGTGTCTCGATCAAGATGACTTTTTTTTTTTTTTTTCTCAAGGAATTAAAAATATAATACTTGGCATCTCGGAGATGTAAAACTACATCACTCGTCAAATATGTTTTTACATGTTGGCTCTAAAACCATTAAATTGGGATTCTGGGTAAATTAAATGCTTTGGTGAGCTTTCGTATAATGAATTTCATGATTTCGCACTTGAAATGCTTCAAAAATGATTTCTGATGATTTTACCACTTCACTGCGTCGATCATGTGCAAAAATGTGACGGGGAAAATATTCGACGAAGACTTTTGTATCCTTGGATATGAAAATACAATTCATGATTTCGCGCGACTGATTTTCTTCTTCACAGGATGTTTTTCCTTGCTTGTTATGCTGTGATGCCTTGATTTTCCTCATTTCAGTTTGATGATTCATCGAAGAATCCACACCGGGGAGAAATCTCACAAGTGTGTTCACTGCGGCAAAGGATTCCGAGCAGCTTCTGACTTATTGAGCCACACCAGGATTCACACCGGGGATCGGCCGTATCCGTGTCCTGTTTGTCCGAAGAAGTTCCGAATTTCTTCCGACATGAAACGACATGTTGCCACACATCTTCCATCATCCCAGGTGAAATGCTGAAGATTTAATGACGATGTTCTGAAAGTTTGTGGGAAATGTACGAGGGTTTATTCAAAAGTTTTGATACTTTTTGAAGTAGATCCCTTAAAGCTTTTACAATTCCAACAGAAAAATGGCCTCGTTTAGCCCCATCATTTGGCAACACATCAGTGCTGTTCAACATACTCACCGCCAATTACAGTATAATGCTTTTTTATTTTTTCATGCGATAAACCCAACCATGAAAACAGTGCCGAAAATCGAGTTCCCTTAGTTGATGAAGCTGCTCTTTGACGGCCGAAATGAAACTGTTGGGATCAGCCAGAATAAGTCACAGGGTACCCGATCAAGTAACAGAACTCGATTTTCGTACATTTTTGATGGTTGAATTTATTGCATGAAAAAAAGCCTTGAAATCGGCGGAGAGAATTTTGAACAGCACTGAAGTGTTGTCAAATGATGGGTCTATGCGAGTAAAAAAGAAATTGAATTGTTGAAACTCTGCTGGATCTATTTCGAAAAGTCTCAAAAGTTTATGAGCCAATCCTCGTAAAGTATATGTTCCGATGATCCTGGCGATAAATTTAGAGAATTGGCCCGAGTTTAGAAAAATGTTGTTGCTCCAAGTAAAATCAAGGAGAAATACTGCCTGTTTGACATTACTGTAACCAAATACAGTGGACCCTGCATTAAAACACCTCTTGGTTAACGAACTTCTGTCTTCAAAGAAAAATCCCTAGGTTAACAAATCAAAATTCAGTAAACAAACTTTTGTTTCTAGGCAAAAATTCCAAATTTGGTTATGAAACTGAACTATAGTGTACAGTGTAATCTAATCGCAATTCCAATGGAAGAATTGAGCAGACAAATAACTGGGCAGTTCAAAGGCTTGCAAAACATTTTAAAAGTGTTTTCAACATTAAATGAGTAATTGAGGGTGTGCCATGGATGTTTCATTTTTAGAGCATGATCAATTGAAAAAATGCTATCCAGCTGGGAAGATGTGGATAAAGGCACTTTCGAGCAGATATTTCTGGTTGTTTCTACTGTTCAAATGTTTAATTGTTTCTTCATTTGAAGCACTGCCAAAGTAACATTAATTTTCTGGTGACAATAATCCCACTCATGTTTGAATGTTTTTTCCATGAGTGAAGCTTTTTGAGCGTTTTTCTCATTAGTCATGCTTCCATCCAACCGTGCAAAACGTTGTGAACGTACAGCACAGATCATTGAAGATCTTTTGATGAGATCATTCTGATGAGATATTTTTCCTGAATTTGTTTTTTATTGAATTTTCAATTGCCTTTGGGGTGGCAGGAATGCATTAATTGATTCTCCATTAAAGTCTATGGGAAATATATATTTGGTTAACTAATTTATGTCTGGAACCAATTGAGTTTATTTGTTGACTGAGATTCCACAAACTGTGCAGCTGAAGCACTCCTTAACATGAAAATGCAAACTTTTCCACCCCTGGCATTAAATTCAGTTCTTAATTTTTTCTTTACTTACCGCACTGTTGACTTTGCATTTCATTTTCTGATGACAGTTCTCCTACTCATGTGTGAATGTTTTTCCATATGTGAAGCCTTCTGAGCTATTGTTTTCACTAGTCTTGCTGCCAAAATACATTATTGTGAACATGCATAGGATGGTGCGGTAACTCATTCTGATCATAATTTGCCCTGAATTTGTTTTTCATGAAATTTTTAATGGAATTTTGGGGTGGCAGGAATGGATTTAAGTAATTGATTGTCCATCAAAGTCCAAGGGAAAATTAAATTTGGTTGATGAAGATTTGTCTGATACTAATTGAGTTTGTTAACCAAGTGTCCACTGTATACAATTGATCTGAGGTCATGGATAATCAAAAATCTACTCTATTGAAAATCCTCAATGAATTAATTAGTTTCATGTTAAAATTGTTATGTATTTTGTGCACAGAAAACTACAAAGCACCCGAACACTGAAAGCTTGTCCATCAAAGACGCGACATCTGTGAAATCAGAAGTTTTTGACGAAATTTCCGATTTGCTCCCGGGAGGAAATGAGGCTTGGAAGAATCCTGGCGAACCGTTTCAAGAAACGAATGAGCCGACGTCAGAAATTTCGCCTGCCTATAATTATGACATTGATGGATTTCATCCGCAATGCTTTTCAAATAAACTTCATGAATGAATTTGAATGTTTCCTGGAAAAAAGTAACATATTTTTCACCATGGTCATGGGATCAGTGGTGCGTGAGGATGTCCATGGTTTTTTTGCGCTGGCTGTGAGTTGGATTTATTTTGTTTCTGATTTGATGCGAAAATTCATGGTATTGTCGAAATTGAGTGACTCTTTGAATTAGTGTTCGATCCGAATTATGCTTGGAAAATATAACCAAATGAGAGGAAATTGTGAAAAGTTGCATTCTCTATGCTTTATGTGCTTATAATTTGAGTATATGATTTCCCATCAATTCATAACGGAGATTGAATAATATCAAACATTTAAAGTTTGAATGGTTGGAAAAATTCATGTAAGAAAAAAATACTGCAAAAATACTAGTGCTGGAGATATCAAACCACATATATGCACCCTATATATATAGTGATACCCTGAGGTGCAGACACAATTGATGCATCAAAAGTGTACCTAAGTCAAAATGTCCCCAAGTTGAATCTCATTTTCCCTTAGACTTACATTGAATAATTTTTAATTGAGTATTTTGTTCATAAAACCATCAGAATTCCATGAAAAAATTGTCTCCCAAAAGAAAATGATCCAATCAATATCTTTTAACACAATGTGGACATTTGGAGTTTTGAAAATTGATTCCTCTGTATAGTACATTGAAACATCATTCTTTGTAAAAAATAACATTCAATTAAAACAGGAAGTCCCTCTATGCTGGGGGTATTTTTTTAATTAGCTAAATAAATGGATGATAGATGAGAGAAATGCCAAAGAACTTTTCTTACATCAATTTTAGGTTTGGAAATATCTGTCTTGTAATTTGGCCTCAAACTAATTTGAAATTTTATCACACAATGTTCATATGTGGAGTCAGTGTCTGCATGTCTGGCTTTTTTAAATTAATTTTTATGGGAAAAATAAGTGTCCCTATGTTGAATTGTCCACATGTCAAGGTGTCTGCATGTGGGGCTCTCACTGTACTTCAAAAACTTGGTGATTTAACATGATTCTGTGAGATGTCAGCTGAAAACACCTTGGTTCATTCAAGTATAATACTTGTCAACCCTCAATGTAGTGCCCTTAATTCAATACCCCCTTGCAATATTGTCACAAATGTCCCTTGCACAAACCTTGATTCATTATTTTCCTATAAAGGAAACCCCAATTCAGTGCCAGCTTACTTTTATGCCATAATCTTTTATCATGTTCAAAAATGGGCAGACATTGAAGTAATGGAGGCATTTTTCCAACCACACAATTGCATTATATGACTTCTAAAAGTTCTACCTGACCCTCACATCCCAATAATAAATTTTTTAACTGCTTTTTACCACTGAAATTGTTCATTCTGACTAGAATACTGTCAAACCTGATGCCTCTGGATGGTCTATAGATCTCTAGAATATTCTATGAAAAAGATAACTTAGGGAGGTAATTCTCCCAATGCTTTGCTGAATCCATGAGATATCCGCAATGATGAGTCGTGACTAGCATCCAAAGGGCAACAGCTGTGTTGGACTGCCCAATTGGAAAATGCATGTCAATCTGGTCCAGCATCCCATGAAAGTTCTGTATCCAAGGTCTAAACTTGAGCTGATGAAAAGAGGACTCCACTTGAACCATCAGTTCTTGTCACATTGCCTGAACTTACCAATGCGTCAATAAACAGATTACTTTCTATGCATGTATGTTTCTAGTGAGGAATGTAACATTGCAGCGAGAACACTCATGCAACGCTGGAACCAGAATTTTGTGTGCTTGAATCAACCAACCTCTAATATAGCCTGAAAAACGTATTATACAAAGCAGCCTTAGCCCATGTCCCTATTTGACCCTGAAAAAATTCAATCATTTTGGATTACAGCATTGATAACTTTTACGCACTCTTAATTCTGATCCTTCAGATTTTCAACAATTAATGTCAAACTTGTGCTGTCATTTTGTAAAATCATAATATTTTGATTTCCAAAGATGTACTCCTTAAATTCACTGGATTTTTTTTGGGATCAATTAAGGCATTTTTGTATAATACCCATGCCCCTTTTGGAGGAGTTCTTTGCATGTCTATCTTGAAGCCTTCTGGAAAGGTTCTGTTCTGGTGTGATATTGAAATTGCCTCTACAAAAGATTCATTTTAATTTGAAACTCCACACAGTGTATAATTGTAAAAACTTTCATCTCTCTTAGCCCGAAGTATCAAAAACACTGCACATCTTATAAACTGGAATCTTCATGTATTTTGTTGAAGACTGAAGCTCTTGCCTGGAAAATAGTTCAAAGAACCAATAAAACACCACAATCAGTCTGGGAATTCTGTTTTGAATTCCTGAAGGATTTATTCAAGTCACAAAATAATAAAATAAACTCAGGATTTCAACAGGTTCCAAACACACAAAAACAAAAATTTGGAATCACACTTCTGATTGATCATACCTGGGAAGTTGCAGGGCAGAAGAATGACCTGACCCAATCTCCCAAAGCAACACTGCTGAACCACACACCATTTATTCATCTCAGAGATTTCTGGGGAATCTCCAGGAATGTTCTATCATGCCAATATTTTCATGTTAAATGTAGCACTGCATACTCAAAATAACTTTCTTTTCCCTATTCTCTGCTGGTTGTACAAGTTCTGAAAATTGGAGCTTTCCTTTGTCTTCAAAAAAAGTCTTTCAAAAAAGCAAGTTCAGAAGTTTAGAGTGACACTTCCACTGGGAATTACCAGCACTATTTATATTTTATGGGGCAAATAAAAGCCCACTCCCCTTCTCCTGTGTAAAGTCAAGAGTTTACTTCTGAAGTGTTCAGAAAAAAAGGTCTTGATGTGTCTCTGTTGATTCAATTTCATTCATGCCTAATTTTTGGAATTTCATGCATGTTGGGACTGATGTGATTTTGTTTGACTCTGATGTGATTTTTTCTACTTGTGCATTGCATTTTGTGAACAACTAAATGAAATGACATTGAAAAAGCAACTAAAACAGTTTCACCCTTTCAAAAAAGCAAGAAATGTTTTTACTGGATTTTCCTGGGGAGAATTGTGGGGCCCTGGTGAAAGTTATAGAAGGAAAAGAGAAAAATCCCATGCATACCCTTTGCACAATTACTAAACAATGGAATGCTTTTTGATTTCTGCTCTTATGCATCTGTAAGGTACAGGTTTAAAAAATATTAGGAATGCCTAAATGAAGAAATGCTGTTGTTTTGGAACAGGATCTACTTGCAATGCAATTCCACATTCTGTAATCTTCCTTTTGAGCCTACTGATCTTGCTCATTTTCAGTTAGTTGATGATCTTTCCTTGGAGCATTCAGAGCTGATATCTTATATTTGTGTGAAATTTGAATTCATCTGAAATACAATTGATCTGTTCTTTTTGGAAGTTATATTGAGAATTTCCCTGCCAAGTTCCCTGGCAGATTGTTTTGTTTGATTCATTTGATGTCTCTTGCAATTAATTATCCTTACTCTTTTTTGTATTTTTTGGGATCTTATCTCACAAAATTGGTAGCAGATCATGAAGTGCATATTAGAGAAAGATGAAAAATGTAAGAAAATATTTTACTCAGCGTAGGAAACTGGGGGAGGACTTGCGTTTTGTGCCTTGCAATTTTTTCCCCTTGTTTTTCCCCCGTTGTGATTTTTTTTTCCTGGGAAAAAGGAGATTCTGTTCCCCATATGGAAAAACTAGACCTTCATCCCCATAATCTTTCCTTTTGGGGAGCTCAACTTTCCTTCTCCCACCACTTCCACCCCCAGTGCAGCTCCTGGAGTCCTGCAGGTATTTACAATAAGCAGGGATTCATATAATTTCTGCAAGAAAATATAAACATGTAACATACTCCTATGACTACTACAATGCCGCAGTAGGCAAGGGACTCAAAATTCTGCTAAAAACACAAAATGTTGTGCTCAGAGTCTTGATATATTCAAGAGGAACAAAATACACGCTGGGGTTGAAATTCATTTTGAGATGAATGAAAAATGTGGTGGGGGGTGTGAATGATCATGGATGAACATTCATTTGTGAATATGACAACTACAATGCCACGGTAGGCAAGAGACACAAAATTTGGCAAAAATTGCAACATTGCCTTGGTGTCACAAGCCAAAATACTCCAGACTTCAGGAGTAATGAAAATAGTGGCCCATGTGTGAAGGACCCCTTGGAATGAATTCCAAGAAATGCACCTTTTCTTACCCCAGGCCAAGGGTAATCCCATTTTCTTTTGGATCTGTAATCCTCTCATTGGAAGCAAGGGAGATGTTGTCTCAGGTGGTCACCCCCGGCAGCTTCCGTTGTACCACACAATTAAATTAAGGTGCCAATTAACTTTTACAATCATTTTGATCTTACATATTTGCATTCACTTCAAAAATGAATAAAAATGAAATACAGATTACAATAGAAGAAACCTTATTTTTTTCAATGAAATCCATGTTGTTTAGTATCACTTTCATCATCTAAGTAAAATGTATATGAAAACCTGAAAGTTCAGAACACATTTGAAAGTATTGAGCTTCTCAAGTTTATTACACATGCCAAGAAAAAATCCACCTCTTTAAATGGAAAACAAATGACTCGGGGCGTGAGGCCAGCAGTGTGTAAACTTCATGTGGCCCCTCTGTCCCTGCTTGCTGAAACGATTAAGTAAGGAGTAACAGCTGGCCTGTTCTCAGGGGGAGGACAAGGAGGGTCACCAGAAAAACCCTTTGACTTTGGAAGCCATCAAGTCTCTTCCTATCTTGGTTGCAGGCCAAAAAATCCTTTGATTCTGCCTGCCACAGAAATATGCACAAAAAAAGGAATATTCTCTGGAAGAGAACAGTACCAGAAGATATCTTACCTCATCTTCCTCTTCCAAAGAAACACAGCCAAATGCCTGTGATTCTTTTAAAGTTTGTTTTCCAACCTTCCAAGCAACTCATGGATAGGTGCACAAAGTGGGACAGAACTTATTGAGCTCAATTTCAAATTTTGTATGCTGTGAATGTAAAACTCATCATTGCTAATGCTTAACTAACTATATCCACATTAACATAAGCAATGTTCAACTGTAACATTACAAACACCATAAACACACAAAGAAAGTTTAGAGCAAACAAGGATCAAACTTCAAAATTTGATTTTAAAAAATTAACTCATCATTATGTACTTTTTGAATATAATCTTAAATTATTTTTTTCATTATTCTGAGTGAAGATATATTAATTTCATTTACATAGTAATTCATTAAATCTTTGTAGATTTATTTGAATACCTTGAAATAATCATATAGTTTACCCATTTCAATGTAAATTTTATCATCAATAATGTGGAAGCAAGTACAAAAAATACTATCCTAAGCAATGATTCTTCTTATCACTGCAAAAGATAAACATACGATATATACTTTTCATGCATTGAAAAAACTTTTCAAATTCAGCAGAATGCAATGTATAGTTTCTATTATCCAATGGATTTTTTAATAAATTCAAAGTTAAGTCTCTAATTAGCAAAAATATGTTCTTTTCTATAAAAAATGAAGCAGGTTACCTTTTATATTACAGATGTAAAGTAATTAAATTCATTCAATTGTTTTCCTAAACTAATTAAATTTGTAAATAGAATATATATAACATACAAAATTTGATCATTATTTCAAAATTTTAATAATTTTTAGAAAACATTTGCAATTTTCTGTCAAACTCCTTTCAAACTCAATCCTTCTTTTCTGTTTTTCATTTGCAATGTTAAAATCATTGCTAATGTTTGAAAACTATAAGCACATTGACGTTGGCAATGTTCAAGTTTATCATTGCCAACAATACACATACATATGATTTTTTACATAGTCATAAAACTCTGAAATTTGACTTAATTGAAAGTTATTTTCATTCTGATAATTTTTTTCAGTTGACTGAAATTAATTTTTTCTCATTTTACATGTTATTTATCCTTGATCAAATTATTCAGGAACTTTCTTTCAAAAAGTTATTTTCAAAATTTTATTCTATTTCCATATGTATTCAAATATCTTTTTAAATATTAATTATCCAAGTATATAAGTGATCGTAAATTTTTGAATCATTTAAGAAAGCAGAGAGCACAAAAAAATGATATTTGTGTTAATTCAAATGAAAATTGTGTTTTAAAATTCCACTTATTTCTTTCTTATCCTTTTCATAAGTGAACTTGCAAGAATTTGATCCATTTTTTTTCTCAAATTTCAGGTATTTCTGGTTAAAGAAGACAAAATGAGCTTTGGAAGTATGAGAAAAGAGGCTCAACTCCTTGAAGACAGGATTTCAATGCAAGAATGGATTCAAATGGAAGCAACGTATCCACTGTTGAGGACATGGTTCAGTGCTTTCATCACACCATCATGACAGGTCATTTTGTGGGGGAAAATGATATCCTGAAAACGAGGGCTGATTTGCAAGCATTAGAGGATCAAATTGATGGAAATGACAAAATGCTTCAAGATTTGCAAAGTGGAACTCTTCAATGTGCAGAATTTTCTTCACTTGCAAATACTTTAAAGAATTCCATTTTGGAACTGATGGAAAAGTATAGTAAGTATTGAATTTATATATTTGTAAACATATATTTTTTCTAAGATTCATATTTTATATGCTTTTACAGATTTGGAAGAACTACAACAAGAAGTTTCCATCAAGACTGAAGAAATCAAAGAACATATGTATTCCACAAAAAACCTTGCTGATGAGCATGCTGAACATGGGGAACAAGCAGGACTGTAATATGTTTTTTAAACATATTTCATTTGGTATCACATTCTTTGCTTTTTTGAAAGGTAAAACAATTTTTGAAAAGCAAAAATTTTAAAAATTGGTATATTACCAAAAGTTTTGGAAAACCGCCACCTATTCCAAGAAGTGGTGAAGGGATTAAGATGGTCCGTTTGATTTGCGCCCCAACTCAGCAACAAAGGGAATTTATTTATTTTTTCATCAGTCCTGACTTCTCTGACACCAACTTTCCATGCTTGCTGACCTCCCCTTCCTGTTATTCAAGATTTATCAGATGAGGGGAACATGCGCTGTTTATGAACGCCGTTCATTCAGACTTTTGAAATTCATTTTACTTCTTTAAATTGAACCCATATTATTATTAATATTTATTATTGATCTTGCTCAGGGGTATAATTCTTTTGATTTCACATCTCATTTCAAACTTTGACAAATAGGTTATAAAAAGTATTTAAAGATATAGATAATAAACAATGCCTCCCGTAGAATTGGATCCACCCTTTCCGGATTTTTCTCTTCTTTGTTCTGCCGGGAGAAGACAGGCAAATTTGTGACCTTGATTCAAATTAAGGTCACCCGCAGTCTTTCAGCGCGGGAATTGTTTGACTGCTTTCTGCATTCTTTTCAATGGAAGAGTTCAATGGAAAAAACAAGAGGATTTGGTTTCTTTTGGCGGCATGGGATGGTGACAATTGGTCTTTGTTTGCAACCAGACAAAACTCTTTTTTGAATTTTTGATAACAGAAGTGGAGGTCAAATTCAGTGTGGGAGTTGGGAAAGTTCTTGGCATCAGGCAGTGTGTTTTACTTTTTGTTGGTGTATGCGATGTTTGAGAAATCATTGCATATGAATTATATTTATATGAAGTTGTTCATTCATTTTTTATTTTTATTTGTGCAGTATATCAAATTTTTCAGAGACAAAAGTGTTTGAAAAATTAGTATTCTGAATAATAAATTTAATAAATAATTACATGAGTAAATTCTTAATTGACTTTCTTTATTCATTTTGTGTAAATGAAAAATAAAAAAACTGGTTCTTTTGATGTTTTGTGATGCAAAAATTATGAAAACGAGATAATTATTATTCCAATTTTGCTTCCAACAAGGTGTTTATTGGGTATTCGTTTTATTCTGTGTTATACAGTGCCTTAATAACATCTTTTCATTATTTTTTTTTTCAGAAAAAGTGATCATTGGTGTGGTTCTACCGCTGAAAATTGAGGAACTTTCATCAGCAAAAACAGTGTGCACTCCTCTTTGTGATTGACTGGCCTGCTGTTGATTGCAATATTTCAAAATACTGGTGAGTTTTTATTGATTTTAACCAGAATAATTTGTATCATTTCATAAAAACTTATTTTTATTGTTTTTCTTTCAGAAATATAAATTTGAAAGTTATATACTTAAATTTTTAATACTTGAAAAATATTATTATGACTTAAACCTTGCAAATGTCATATGATTGATTTTTTATTATTCACAGCAATATTCAATATGAGTATATTGAATTTGAAGTGGATATATAAATATTATTATTATTCATAATAATTGAACAATAAATGAATAACATTCAAAGTAAATTTTTCAGAACCCTTACATTACAAGTTTATTTCAAGATATTAGCATTGTTCAATTGTATAATAATATATTGTCTAAATCCAATTAAAATTGTTAAAGAGGTTTTTCCAATTATCCAATTAAATTCTAAAAATATAATTTAATTAAAAAAGGAAACCCCTTCAATATTTTAATTAATGAATAATTGAACGATGAATTTATTAAATAAGAATTAATTTATTAATTTTAGTAATGATAAATTTGTATGCATTGTATTTCTTATTTTGTTCATTTCACTCATGTTATAATAAAAACAATCATGATTTCTGAATAATTTATGTTCATATTTATATATATTGTATGAATGAATAAATGAACAGAACATTTTATTTGCAGAAATTAAATACTGATAAATGTTTTGCTCTATATACAAATGCTCTTCCACGTTCAATTTTAATTTTATTTCTGAGTACATTTATGATTATAAGAGAAAAATTGAAGAAGCTTACATTATTTGTTTTTTGTGAATTGATTAATTTATCAAATAATTAATTATCTTGCAATTATTGCACTAATTTATTTGCGTTTAATTTTTATTCTCTTTTTTGTCATTTTTATCAGATGAACAATATTCTTTAACTTTTTGTTGATAATATTGAATAATGGTTATGGTATACAAATTGTTAATTTTTCAAAAATTGTTTTTTAAATAAAAAACAATCCCAATTTTTATACTTTTAATTTAATTTTGTAGTGATTTTGTGTATAAATTTAATTGAATATTTTTTTTAAATTTTTTTAATAAGATCGAAAAATTATATATTCTATGAATTGCTATGTAAAACTCATTGTTGCTAATGCTACACAAACTATGCACATTAACATAAGCAATATTCCATTGTAACATTACAAACACTTTGATCATACAAAGAAAGTTTAGAGCAAGCAAGGATCCAACGTAAAAATTTGATTTTGAAAAAGTAACTCATCAATATCTACTTTTTTATTGTAATCTTAAATTTTTTTTTAGTCTGAGTGTAGATAGATTATTTTCATTTACATAGTAATTCATTCTTCTGAAATACAAATTCTCATACTATTTCAAAGTAAAAGAAAATCTTTTTAGATTTATTTGAATATCTTAAAATATACTAATGTAGTTTATACCCATTTCAATGTAAATTTCTTTTTATCATTGCAAAAATAAACATACAATATACTTTTCATGCATTGAAAAAACTTTTCAAATTCAGCAGAATGCAATGTAGTTTCTATTATCCAATGCATTTTTGATTAAATTCAAAGTTAAGTCTCTAATTAGCAAATATATGTTTTTTATTATAAAAAATGAAGCAAGTTACCTATTATATTTCTTATGTAAAGTAATTAAAGTTGTTCAATTGTTTTCCTGAACTAATTAAATTTGTAAACAGAATATAACATGAAATTTGATCAATATTTCAAAATTTTAATAGTTAATAGAAAATATTTGCAATTTTATGTTAAAGTCCTTTCAAAATCTATCCTTATTTTCTGTTTTTCATTTGCGATGTTAAAATCATCGCTCATGTTTGAAAATTAAGCACATTGGCATCAGCGATGTTCAACTTTATCATCGCCAAGAGTGCACATATACATACCATTTTTTACAATTATCATCATTGAAATACTTTTAAAATTATCATCGTCTACTGTAAGTAACTATGCACTATTACATAAGTAATGTTCATCTTCATCATCGCAAACACTCTAAACATACATTGGAACTTTGAAACAATGATGAAGCATTTTCCTTTTGATTTTAGTAAAAGTTACTCTTTATTATCTAATTTTTCATGATAAACTCTTTTTTAATTTAACATATTTTCTTTTTACATAATATTAAAAACGATGCATTGTCAAAATTGTATTTTCACTTACATAATAATTCACTCTTATAAACAAGGAATTTTCATACTATTTGGCATTCTAAAGTACATTTTCATTTTATTTTTATACAATATAATTTTAATGATTTAGCATTTACCAAGTAAAATTTATCATGTTGCTATTAATTGTATAAGCAAGTATATATGGTGATCTAAGTTATGTTGAAGTTAATTATTACAAAAAATGTACATAAATTTTTATACAGCAGTAATCAAATTATGTAAAATGAGCTAAATGGAATGAAATTTTCATTATCCAAAATATTCATTTTAAAGTCAAAATTGAATTTTTACATTTATTAAAAAATGTTTTTATTTAAATGAAGCACAATTCATTTTTATAGTACCATTCAAACTTAGATATAAATAATAAATTTTTAAAATAAACTAATTACTATTTTCAAAGGAATATAGCCTAAAGTAACTCATCATTATTGGAAAAATTTCAATGATCAATAAAAGATACTTGCACATTCATAGCATACTAATTTAAAAAAATATAATATTCTGGCTTTACTTATTTTAGTCTTAAACTTTTATTTTAAT